CGACACTGAATTACATTGAATTTAGTTCGACGAGGTTCAATTGGGTTCGATTCGAATCAATTTTTGTTCGATTCAATCGATTTGATTTAATTTAATTAAATATGAATTTAATTTGATAAAATTTAATTCAATTTAATCAAATTGAGGTTAAAATTTTTTGGTCGATTTTGCTTTGACGACGTTCGATCTAATTGATCGAATGTGATCGAGCCAGTCAGGCTCGAACTGGCTCGGTCGGTATCGAGTCGATATAACATAATGTCAACATAGTCTAGTGATTGTGATGGCGTACAAGATGGTTTACCAAAATCTATAATTTAAAACAATATTTCTAACATTTTTCTCCTCTGGTTTATTTGCCCAAGCACAACTCAACCATTGCATTGAAGTAAACATAGGCTCCAAAGGTTTTCTAACATCCAACGTACTCTGTAATGTCAAGTAAGCAATGAAAAATCTTATTATTGCTCGACTCTTTCTTTGAAAATTTTCTCATAAAAGTCAAAACCCAAGAACGGTGGTAAATAAATTTAGTTATCTTCTTTGTTTTGGTAAGCACATTCTTGTGTTGAGACAGCTTCCTTAGCTTCTCAAGAATAAGATCTATGCAATATGCAGCACATTTAGTCCAATACAAGTGTTTCCTCTTCTCCACAAGTTTTTTTCCCTGCAGCATTTATCTGTTACAAACTGGACTACTAAATGCTCTCCAACCTCCTCAACAACGTTGTCTAGTAATCCAAAGATGAACTCAGCATCCCTGACCTAATCAGATGCCTTAATTGACTTCAAAAATACAATATCGTAAGGATTATTAATCAAAATATTTATTAAACTTCTATTATTTATATCTGACCAACTATCCGACATAATAGTTACACCAATTTGGGCCTAAATCCTCTTAATTTCTTCAATGCTTTTTTAAGTATTGCCCAACTCCTTCAAAATCTATGTTCTCAAATCATACATGGTTGGAGGTTTGAACCCACTCTCATATGCTCCAACTGACCGAATCATGTTGTAATAAGCAGGTGATGATGCTACATTAAATGGGATTGCATTTTCATAGAAGAATCTGACTATATCCATGCATACTCTTTTCAGTGCCTCCCTAGCATTCTCTTAGGCCATCCTCTATGCAGTAATAGGCATATCCTCTGATGTTTGCACCATGTAATGATCCATGGGACCCCTTGCACCCCTAGAAGATATAGTATTCATTGAAGAAGATGAATCCTGACCACTACGCTCACACCCGTAGTAGGAGCTAACATCAACTCTGTCCTCAAACTGCTTCTATGCAAGATGCTTTGAAATGATTATGTTTTTATCTCCTCCCTGATTGTATCAGACATTTTAGCGCTTGGTGCAACATTTTTGTGGAACCTGAAAATGTGCTCCTTCATCCTAATCACACCATCCTTCACTACTTTGTCACAATAATTACATTTCAAATATACGTATGATTTGTCACTCCCTCGTATGTCCACTTGAGTGTTATGTTTCCATGTTGGATCTTTTCATGACTCAATGCAACTTTATCTCTACTTCTAACCATCATTTACGAAACCCTACAATTAAATATTAAATCTTTACATTTATCATTAATTAAATTTATAGTAGCCCAAAGTGCTTTCATATTTTCAAATGAAGCCATACTCAAGTCATGGTAAAAAGTAGACTAGGTAATTTGAGCATGTACAGGAACACTAAAAGATGGCATCTATCACCAAAAGAAGAAAAATTATCAAGAAAAGGGATATGTTGAATGTGACATGCTTAAAATTGTGCAAGACTTGCAGCAATTAGAACAAAAATCTCATAACCATGAAATAGGAATGACTGAAGAATAATTCATAAAGCTGACCATAAATTGTTGGGTTAAAGCTATTAATCATGATGAAAATTCGCATAACTTATAGTGCTTTGAAGCATTTAATTGCTCTCGAGCTATTCATTTGACAAGAATACTCCAACGTAGATGTCGTTAATAATCCAACATAATTTGGACTAATGCATTTTCTCCTTATCACCCACATAATCTAATTCTCATAATAATCATTTCCTTACAAGGTCAATAAAAAGCATATAAAATATTTTCCTTGCTCAAGGTAAATTTCATTCATTTCTTAACTCAAAAAGTATCTCTATGATCTTTGTAGTATAAAAGCAAATTGATCATGTTGTATCAAAGTGATTTTCCTAATCTTTATTCCAAATTAGGTAAGGGTTTTAATGGGAAAGGGGAGGAAAAGGGGGAAGGCGGCCATGCATGAGAAAATTAATTGGGATTTGAATTCTTTCCAGTCATAGGTGATTAAATTTGGAAAGAGATTTAAAGGGAACCCTCTAATTAAATTCAGATTTGGGATAACAAGAAAGTTTCCAAATTGAATCCTTCTTAAATTAGGAAATTATTCAAATTTGGAGTTTGAAAACTTTCCAAATTTAAGAGGATCTAAATTAAGTAAGCTTTCAATTCTTTCCTTAGAGGAGTCTTGGCAGAGAAAAGGAAGTTAGATGGGAAAGGGGGCCGGAGGCATGGGTGGGCAAGGGAGAGTTTATGGAAGCATTTAATGCCTTCTTGATTAAGGAATTAAATTTGGGAAGAAATATCTCATCCCAATTTAATTTAAAATTCAAATAGGAAGGGATTTGGAAACTTTTCTAAAATAGGATTTATTTTTTAGGTAATAATTTCAAATTCAAATAGGTTTGAATTTGTAATTATTTGAGTTACCTAAAATATGTAGAGTTAATTTAGGAAAGTTGTAATGGCAATTGATGAGAGAGGGGAAAGCAAAGTGGTGGCCGATGGTTTGGAATAGGGTTTGGTTAGGGTTTGTGGGTTGAATGGTTTGGAGGTGGGAGTTGGCCGGCGACAAGGTGGATTGTGGTTAGGGAATCCGGCAGCTAGGAGGTTGGGGATTGGATGGGGATGTTGGTGGCTTAATTGGGAAGGAGGACAAAGGGAAAGGAAAAGGAACGAAAGAAAGGTAAAGGAAGAAGAACCACGAACCCGGCCGTCTCCAAGGTTGGTGGGTGATCCGATTTCCCTCCCTAGGAATTTCTCCAAAGCCCTCTCCTAGAACTCTCACAACTCTCCAAAGAACACATGTGCAGGAAATTATTTAGATTTCATTCATTGATTCTCAAAGAAGAGGGGGGCTTTAAATAGCCCATACAATGACAAAATAAAAAGTACTACAATGCCCCTAGGGCTTACACATACTTAAGCCCTTAAGTAAGGGAAAAAAAGGAAAAGCATAATAAACTTCATAAAAATAAAAAAATAATACATTAATCATAAATATGAAAATCATAAGTAGCGTGATGTAATCGTGGCCGTTGATCGACGACCACGCCTCTAGTATATTTTTCCATGTCTTGATGTCCTCATCACTAAGTTACAATCACATGAAGATGAAATTATAAAAATGTCAAAAATATAACGAGATTTTAATTAATCATAAATGTCACCTGCTCCGCAACAAATATAAAACAACAACAACAACATCAAGACTTTATCCCACTACGTGGGGTCGGCTACATGAATCTTTTTTCACCATTGTGTCCTATTAAAAGTCAAATTCTCGTTTAAATCTAATAAAGAAAGGTCATTCCTAATATTTTCTAACCAAGTCTTTTTAGGTCTACCCCTACCTTTCTTAACATAAGTCAAATCTAATACCTCTACTCACCTAACCGGGTCATCAAAAGGCCGCCGTTTTATGTGACCAAACCATCTAAGGCAACTTTCTCTAATCTTATCTTCTATTGGAGCTACTCCAACCTTTTCACGTATATGCTCATTTCGTATCCTATCTCTAAGGGTAAAGTCACTCATCCACCTGAGCATCCTCATCTCTACCACACTTAACTTAGTATTATGCTTCTCTTTTAAAGGCCAACATTCGGCACCATAAAGCATTGCAGGCCTCACTACCATCTTATAGAATTTTCCCTTAAGTTTGAGAGGTACATTTCTATCACATAACAAACCCGATGCATTCCTCCACTTCAACCATCCAACTTGAATTCTACTGATAATATCCCCATCTATTTCCCTATCACTCTGAACAATAGATCCAATATATCTAAAACGTGTACTCTTATTAATGACTTGATCGCCCAAAGTCACAATCCCCTCATATCACTTCTCTTGGAACTTTATCATATGCTTTTTCTAAATCAATAAATATCATATGTAGATCCTCCTTATTTTCTCTATATTTCTCCATCAAACCTCTTAATAAATGTATGGCTTCCATAGTCGACCTACCCGGCATGAATCCAAATTGATTTTGAGAAACATTAGTATCACGCCGCAACCTATGCTTCATAACTCGCTCCCATAGTTTTAAAGTATGACACATTAACTTAATACCTCTATAATATAAAACATTATTTAAAATTTTAAAATGACACTTCACACGTATTTAAAATTTTACAAAAACCAACTTCTTAATTTTTTTATTGGTCAAAATGTTTATTCTATAATTATTTTGTATCCTCTTACCGTTCAAAATTTCGCTAAGTTATTTAAATCTAAGAAAAGTACCCCGTCCATAAGTCCCTGATTTCTTACCAACTGGCGCTAAAATCAAAATCCTGACGTCCAAAAATGACGTCAATAAAATATGCTGCCAATTTACTTTTTTTCTTGAAGCATAATTATCCATAAAGAAACTAAGTGAGACAACTGGTGACATGAAAAGACTTGAGAAGATTCACACCCAAAAATTTTTTCATCATATGCTCATTACCCTAAAAGATCAACAAAGTGATTTGAATTTATTTATAATCCAGCCCAAAATTTTCAGACAGGACAGGATTAGGTGAGCTAGCAATCAATATGAAGATAATGAAACGAGTATTTAATTCAATATGACAAGATGGCTTTCTTTCTACAAAGAATAAACAATGGAAGTAAACAACAAAGCAAAGTTTTCAAAAGGGCGTCCAACCATGATAAAAAACCAACAAATGGAATCGCATACCATGGAAGAATTTTAGTGCAGTAGCAATCAAGAAAAAGGACCAAATCCTGGGAAGATTTAAAACTTTCATCAACCTGAACGAGGAACAACCATAAACTCTTTTATCAAACAATTGATATCAACAGTATATGTTGTAAGATAAGTACAAACTTGATATAGTGAACGAGTTATAAAATGGACGTACACAAGCCTGCAAAAAGCTTGAAAGCATTGCTTCTTCAAGCCCCTGAATTACTGGTGAAATTAAATCCAATGTACAAGTACCGATTTCTGAGATTGCCTCCAGTATTAAATCAAGCGGTAATATAGAATCTTTATGAAGAAGCCTGACAAGCCTTCTAACAACAATTTCATTATAAATCATTTGCATATTCGAATCTTTAAATCTTGCTATGCACGATCCAATAAGGACTAATGACTTCAATGACAATTTCCACAAGAATGGATCTTCATATCTGCTAATGATAATTAATATAAAAACCTCTAAAATGTCTTCAAATGATTTCCTTGGCACAGGTGTATGCTCCCCTGCATATGTTGCAAGCACTTCCAACCCCTTCACTGCATGATTGAACATTCAAGAGTATCAAAACAGAGAACCCGATCCACTAGCTGAAACCAAACTTAGCAACAAAAGAAAGAACCTTATTCACGTTAAAGGAATCTCTAGGATAGCCATAAACATTATTTTTGCCTAAAAAATCACAAAGAAAGGTCATATCCCTTCATAATTGAATTGAACTGATACTAGGTCTTCTTTAAGCATCAAATAACGGATCAATCTGAATATAATTGCCGAGAAGTAGAATGCCTTGCAAGTTCTTTATAGAAGGATCTCATATCCAGAACGCTATGAATAATTTATTTTTCTTTTCACAGTTAGATCACCAGAAACATTGTCAAAATTACTTAGTTATAGTTAGAGAGTATCTAATCTCATGTAATTATTTACGTAAACTTTATTGGCAGTTCTTACCAATTGCAGCTTATTTATTTGGGACTGTAAGCAAGTGAATCTTTTTTTATTTATTCTTCTTCCCTAGTTTTGTTAGCTCATTAGCTATAACTATTTATAAATTTCAAAGAGAATCCGTATCCTTGAAATGTAAACAGTACAATTTTTAAAAACTACAATATCAGTATCTGCTTCTTGTTCCAAGGATATGACATGGACCGAGAAGCAAAAATTAAACATTGTTAAAAGCTTAAGTTCAGCCCAAAAAATCAATTAGATAAAACCAATCTTTTTTATTCAATATCAAATGTAGGACGAAAACACACAAAAACCTGATAATTACAAAATTCTAAACCTAAATTGTGTTGTGCCGACACTAAATCATTCATACTTGAGCAAACAATGTTGAGATTCTGATAAACAAATATCTAATAATTCAAAATGAAGAGAAGATCATATCAGATGATGGCATCTTAAAATCATGATAATGCCTATAAAAATTAATACAGCGTGTATAATATGGGATACGTACCTCAAAACAGCACTCCAAGGAGAGGAGTTAAATACAAGAGGACCTAGACTTTAAGTCTAATCCCACCCAATGTAATCACTCAAAAATCAAAAGCCCTTCTGATAGGGACATCAGCTCATGAAAGGTTTATCAGAGGTCTGGCCGCCGATCTACGGCCACGATCGAGTCTTTGTACTTTTGAGTTATTTTCTTATTTATGTATTTTTCTATTTCAGTGTTATGTTTTATTTTCCAGTTATACCCTTTTAATGGGTGATGTCGTATGTAAGCCCGGAGGGCAATTGTGTCTTTTATTTTCATGCTTCTCTTGTACAAGGCTATATATATAGCCCTTTGTTCTATTTTCAAGTTCATGAATGATTTATTAAAAATTTTCTTCTTGCATGAGTTCTTGTGAGAGCGTTTGAGAGTTCTTGGAGAGAACTTTGGGAGAGATCCCTAGGAGAGGGAGAAAGGACCACCCACCAACCTTGGAGACGGCCGGGTTCGTGGTTTTCTTCTTTGTCTATCGTCATTCTCTTTCCCTTCTCTTTCCCACCCTCACATAGCCGCCGGATTCCATCACACCCGAATCCACTTCCCCTTCCTCCTAACCCCACGGCCAAAACCCCAACCCGAGCCCCCATGCCGCCGGCTCCAACCACCTAGCCGCACCCCCCCCCCCCCCCCCCCCCCCCCCTTTCCCCATCTTTCCGTTTTCTCACTTTGCCTAATTTGGGTGGACATATTTTGAAATTTAAATTCATATAATTTGAAATTTGAAATCTTTCCTAATTTATGAATTCTATTTTTGGAAAGTTTCCTAATTAAAACTTATTTGAATTTAAAATTCAAATAGGATATTAAAAGCCCTTTCCTAATATTCAAAACCAAAAAAAGTAAAATTAATTGCTCTCCACAAATCCCTCCCCTTCTCCTTAATGCCGCCGGGCCCCTCCTTGGCTTGGATTAGGAAATATTTCCTAAAGTCCCTCCTTGCTATAGGCAATAATTCCAATCTCCCCCAATTCTCTCTTAGCCGAATTTCCCCCTTTCTCCTTCAATTTAATTTCTTCCCATAAGTGGACCTCTCTTTTGGGAAACAAATTAAATCCCAACCTCCTCTACAAACCGCCGGCCACTCTCTCCTACCCGCCCCCTCTCTCTCTCTCTCTCTCCAATCCCCTCTCTCCCTCTTTAATACCTATAGTCATTCCATAATCAGCACTTAGGCCACTTGAGGCAAGTTTGTGATGTCTTAAGGAAGGAGCAACTATATGCCAACCCGAAGAAATGCACCTTCCTAGTAGATCGCGTCATTTTCCTGGGCTTCATCATTTCAGCCCAAGTGTTTTCCGCAGACCCCGAGAAGGTGAGGGCCATTGTAGAATGGCCTATCCCTCAGAACATCTGGGAAGTCCGCAGCTTACACGGATTAGCCACCTTCTATAGGAGATTCATTCAGAATTTCAGCACTATCGTATCTCCTATCACTGATTGCCTGAAAAAGGGTGATTTCCACTGGACCCCGGCCGCCGCCAGAGCTTTTGATTAGATCAAGCAGAAAATGTTGGAAGCCCCAGTGATGCGACTTCCTGATTTCTCCAAAGTCTTCGAAGTAACTTGCGATGCTTCGGGGTCGGAATTGGAGGAATCCTCTCCCAGGAAGGTCACCCCATTGCTTACTTCAGTGAGAAACTTAATGATATCCGGCAGCATTATTCTACTTATGACAAGGAGTTCTACGCCGTGATCCAATCACTCCGTTATTAGCGACATACTTGCTCCAGCAAGAGTTCGTCATTTTCTCGGATCACGAAGCTCTGCAATATATCAACTCCCAAAAGAAATTGAATGGATGCCATGGTCGATGGGTTGAGTTCCTTCAGGAGTATACGTACACCCTTAGACATAAGGCGGGAGTTGAAAACAAGGCTGCCGATGCTCTCAGTCGTCGTATGATGACCACCACTGAAATGAGAGTCGAAGTCGTCGGATTTGACCAAATAAAGAGGGATTATTTGGAATGCCCCGACTTCAAGGAGACCTACACTCTCTTGTCCACAGGCAGCACGCGCCTTGTGGATGATTTCCTATTGGAGGATGGATATCTCTTCAAAGCCTAGAGGCTTTGTATCCCAAGCACCTCCTTTAGAGAATTTCTGGTCTAGGAACTCCACGCCAGAGGCCTCGTTGGGCACTTCGGACGAGACAGACTATCGAATCCATGGAGTATCATTTCTTTTGGCTCAGCCTGAAGAAAGATGTTGGTCGGCTGGTCAGTCGGTGTCACACTTGCCAATTGGCCAAGCAACGTAAGCAGAACACGAATTTTTACACTCCCCTACCTGTCCCCAGTTGTCATTGGCAGGATCTTAGTATGGACTTTATCTTAGGCCAGCCCAAGACACTACGTAGGCACGATGCCATTTGTGTTCTAGTTGACCGATTTTCCAAAATGGCACATTTCATTCCATGTTCTAAAACATCCGATGTCTCTCACATTACGAAGTTATACTTCAATGAGGTCGTCCGTTTACATGGTTTACCCAAAACCATTGTTTCGGATAGGGATGTGAAGTTCACTAGCTATTTTTGATAAACTCTGTGGATGAAAATGGGCACCTCAATTTTCCACTGCCTTTCACACACATACGGATGGTCAGACCGAGGTAGTTAATAGGAGTCTGTGTAATTTGTTGTGGTCCCTGGTTAGTGAGCACATTAGAGATTGGGATTCCATTCTACCTACTGCTGAGTTTGCTTACAATAATTCCATTAACCGAACCACGGGTCTAAGTCCTTCTGAAATTGTATACGGGTTCAAACCTAGACAGCCGTTAGATCTAATACACATGTGTTCTAGGTATAGTATTTCTGAGTCTACATCATCATTTGCATCTCATTTGCATGAGCTTCATAAGGAAATTGCACAACAAATTGAAAGGAATAATAGTGAATATAAATCACATGCAGACTTGAAACGACGTTTTAAAATGTTTGAGGTTGGTGACTTCGTGATGGTGCGGATTCGTCCGGAATGGTTCTCACCGGGAACAGTTAAGAAGTTGCAAGCTAAGAGTGCTGGAACTTTCAAAATACTTAAAAAATTTAACAAATGCCTATGTAGTAGATCTGCATGCATATTTTAATATAAATTCCTCTTTTAACATAAAAGACTTAGTGGCATATGAAGGTCCTGATTTTAACCCACCAAATCCACTAATAAAACAGCCTTGTATGAACCCACCTTGTGATATCCCAAACCTACCTCCACTGCCATATATTCCCAAATTTCCTATGGCAGAGCAGGTGGAGGCAATCCTAAGTGATGAGATCATATCCACAAGAGGAGGACGAAGGAGGTATTTGATCAGGTGGAAAGGAAAGCCCGAGTCTGAGGATACGTGGCTAGATCGCGAGGAGTTGCAGCAGACTGACCCGGGCGCACTAGAGATCTACGAGAGCACCAGAGATACTTACTCGACGGAGTCGAGTTTTCTTCCACCCCGGGAGAATGATGGGGACATCAACTCATGGAAGGCTTATCAGAGGCGTGGCCGCCGATCTACGGCCACGATCGAGTCTTTGTACTTTCGAGTTATTTTCTTATTTATGTATTTTTCTATTTCAGTGTTATGTTTTATTTTCCACTTATACCCCTTTTAATGGGTGATGTCATATGTAAGCCCGGAGGGCAATTGTGTCTTTTATTTTCATGCTTCTCTTGTATTAGGCTATATATATAGCCCTTTGTTCTATTCTCAAGTTAATGAATGATTGATTAAAAAATTTCTTCTTGCATGAGTTCTTGAGAGAGCGTTTGAGAGTTCTTGGAGAGAACTTTGGAAGAGATCCCTAGGAGAGGAAGAACAAACCACCCACCAACCTTGGAGACGGCCGGGTTCGTGGTTTTCTTCTTTGTCTATCGTCGTTCTCTTTCCAACCCTCACATAGCCGCCGGATTCCATCACACCCGAATCCACTTCCCCTTCCTCCTAAATCCACGGCCAAAACCCCAACCCGAGCCACCATGCCGCCGGCTCCAACCACCTAACCCCCCCCCCCCCCCCCCCCAACCCCCCCCCCCCCAACTCCCTCTTTCCCATTGAATTCCTTTGCTTAATTTGGGTGGACATATTTTGGGAAGATTTTGAAATTCAAATTCATATAATTTGAAATTTGAAATCTTTCCTAATTTATGAATTCTATTTTTTGGAAAGTTTCCTAATTAAAACTTATTTGAATTTAAAATTCAAATAGGATTTTAAAATCCCTTTCCTAATATTCAAAACTAAATCAAGTAACATTAATTGTTCTCCACAAATCCCTCCCCTTCTCCTTAATGCCGCCGGCCCCCCCTTGGCTTGGATTAGGAAATATTTCCTAAAGCCCCTCCTTGCTTTAGGCAATAATTCCAATCTCCCCCAATTCTCTCTTAGCCGAATTTCCCCCTTTCTCCTTCTATTTAATTTCTTCCCATAAGTCGACCTCTCTTTTGGGAAACAAATTAAATCCCCACCTCCTCTACAAACCGCCGGCCCCTCTCTCCTACCCGCCCCCTCTCTCTCTCCAATCCCCTCTCTCCCTCTTTAATACCTCACTTGAATTGAGGCTAGAGTTCTCTCTCCAATTTCCCTACCTACAACACTTAGAAAATCTGAAATTCCTCTCAGATTTTGGTTCAAAATCTGAAACTGCTTTAAGATTTTTGGGAAGGGAACTTGAGGATTATTTCCTCTCCACGTGCAAGAGAAACTTCTTTCTCTTCGGCGACATTCGAAAACCTTAGCAAGACGGAAGAAGAGTTATTCCCTAACCCACATGAATGGCGGATCCAGCTACTGAATACGGCTTGACTTGGGACGAGGACGGTTTCACCGATATCCTACGATCAACTTTATTCGACGAGAACCCAAGGGTTGATCATACCGTCGAGGACTATTTGGAACGCATTCTGGACACCTTAGAGGAAGCCATTGATGAGCACTTCGAAGGCATCGAGTGGAGGATCTCCACTACTCCTTGACGAGAGGTTACCCTTTCTCCTTGTCATTATATTTCTTAGTCTAACTGGATCTTGTGCTTGATTGTAGTCACAAAGGACGACTCTCTCCGCTACTACTAAGCTTAGTAAACGTAGGGTTTTGAGAGTGCCTTTATGCTTACTAATTCTTGTTGTTAGACTAGGGATTTCTTTGAAACTACTATTTGTCATTGTGTTGTTTTCTTAAATTATTTTTGTGAGGCTTCAAATCTCTTGCTACGTAATTTGGCCTAAGCGGGTGTGAACCCGATTTGTTTTGATTCATTGTTTCAAATTGCTAGTAGTTTTGTTCTATGATTATTCTAATCACGAGTTGTGTAAAATCCAAATGAACTAATAGCATTTCACATTTAGTTCTGCATCACCTTCATTTGGCATACCACATATATGGTAAGGCAAACATAAGCCTATACACTAGGTAGATCAGATGAAATATCCTACAGCTTTTAGGAATCCTGCAGCTTAACTGTTTAAAGCTGGGGTGCAAAAATAAAATAAAAAAAGAAAAGAAGCACTGATGATAAAGCTAAAGGCTGTTTAGTAAAAATTGCGATAACGATAAAACAACTACCAAGGGTTACATAACAATATTAACCCTATTGAAATAAGAGTTGTGGCATTGATGTGAATTGAATACCAGACAAGGATAACTGTAGCAGCCAACAAGCAGTGGGCAGGGGCAACAGCATTAATGAGCTTGACAGTACCATTTCCTACTCAGTGCTACATTTTAAAGGTCCACCATTGTATAGTGATCAAATGTAACCGAGAGCCAAAATAAATTTCTCATAGAATGAAATATTAATGAACAAAAAGAACGTCAACGTAACATTTGTTTATTAGAATTCAATCAGATTGGACAAAATTTGCATGGTGCGTCTCAGGAAGAAGATTGGCCCCATGCATATAAAAAAAGTTAACTATGAAACGACATACACAGTACATGGAGGAAAACAAAAATACACTAGAGGCGGTTAATGACTGCTTCAAGCATTTTGGAGGTGAAAAAACCAAAAGGTTGGGTATGACACATGAAGTTTATAGAAACTAAAGCACCATCAACACTCCTTGTTAGAAATCGAGACATGGACAAGTACAAAGAGCATTAGAACAGAAACTACATGATAAGAATCCAACTAGTCACGTAGAAGATCAGGAAACATAGAAAATGAAGAATGTTACCGCTGCATATGATTATTTCTTGCATGTAGTTAGAGTTTCCACCTTCAGCAGTGATTTTATTGGGAATCATCAAGGCTGATTTAAAAGCAGAAGTTAATGGGCCAGAGAACTCTTGAATCAAGTGCCACCAGATACCTCGCAATGAATCTTTTGAATTGGACGACTCCAATACTGTTGCTATCAAATCTCTGCTCGAAGCAAGCAGTTCAACAGACAAATAAAGTGCCCCATAGTTAAACTTCTGGGAAACAATTTCAACATAAGCATCTGCAGAATGTTTTGACGTTCTTAAATCAATTCCAAGGGCAACCATTAAACGTGGAAAAAAATCTTGAAACACTCTATTGCAGCCAAAAATGGAGGAATTTGCCACAACAGATAAGATACTACCAAGAGCACTAAGCTTAAGGTCATTTTTATCATCATTATCAGAATAGCTTCCCTCCATGGTGACCGAACAAAAACTTCTTTCAACAACATTATCATCAATAATCAAAGTCAAAAAATCAACATTATTAGGGCAAGTAAACTGCAAAATGGTTGTTTTCAAACAAATTAAAGCTTCCGTAGCAATCTTGTGCTCATGATATTTGATATCTCCGCCTAAAACAGAAACCGATGATGATAATATTTCGGCTTGTGGCAAATGATTGAGGATAACATCTTTTAGAGCAAACCAAATGTTTTGGGCATGCTGCAACATCCTTTCAGTTCCAAAATTCAACAAACATTTGTTCAGATACTTCAAAGAATCAATCTGTTAAAAATGCAGGTACTCAATCAAAGAGGTTAACAAAAAGAAGTCGACATAAATTGTTCAAAGCTTTAGGAAGTGTAAGAAACTTAAAAGATGTGCAGTAACCTTTGCTAATGGAAGAGAAGATGAAAGTTTATCAAGAAGCAATGGAATAGCAAATGGCTCAAAATATGGAGTTGAACAGAAGGCATCCTGCATTGCCAACAGATAAAGAGAGTAACGGTAAGAAATCAGCTGATTTTTTCATTGCAATGAAAAAGCACTTCAAGTGACCAAAAAAAAAACTTGGATCGGATGGCATTTTCTAATGAATAGGCATAACTTATAAGGTAAACGTCATCCAGGATTCCTAGGTACAGAACATGCTTCACATAGGTTATCTTTTTTAAAAAAACACTTCATTTATGCCCGTTTAGTTACTTTCAGCCTACAAGTAAGCTCCTAGTGTGACTGCTTCATCAATATCTACTGGAATAAACACCCCTAAGTAATACAAAATCTAGAGGCACTTTGCTTATGCTAGTCTTTGATGGCTTTTTTGCCTCTCGATGCCCTGAATAAAGCTTGTTAGCCTCCTTGAGATCATTGATAGTTTTATCGAGGCATCAGAGATGCAGACGCAAAGATCTAAGCATTAGAACAAACGAAATTAGCAACAATGTAGTAGAGCGGATGAAGGAGAGGGAGATGGAAGTAGAGGAGGATTGAGTACTACAGTATGCAAAGATCTAAGCATTGCACAGCTAAACTGATAATGGGATGGTTTTTCAACGGCAAAGGTGAGAAAGGGAACAGCAGGGGATGGAGAAAAGGGAGCAAAAAATAATGATGGCTACGGGGAAAAAGGCCAATCATTTGCTAAAAAATGCTCATAAACATAATGTGGAAGGTAATAATGACAGTATGAAAAGGTAAAAATTAACAAAGCAACTACAGCAAAAAGTAACGAGAAGGAATCTAAGTGCAGCGCTTTTAAAAACATAAACCTATGTGAAGCGTAGTCTGTATCCCAAGATATAAGTGCAATTTACCAACTTAATCACAAAGTAAAATATTTACATGAGAAATTATTAAGAGTGCCAAAAGCACTAAATCTATGTATAAAGTGAACATCAAAAAGTTCTATAAAATATTTGGAATCTACGCACACCATAAAATTTCTAAAGACAATAAATCCATGAAAGAAGAACCAATCAACTTGAGAAGAAATACTTCCATTACCCTATACATCATTGAAAAATGTTATCCAGCCATTTTTTGACGGGATCATTCTTCCAACATACAATATTATAACTGCTGCATAATGAGTTTAAATTTTATGGTAAAATTTTATCCATGGTTTAAAATTGCGCAATATGAGGCTCGCCTTGAGGCCCGCCTTTGCGCAATTCTAGTAAAAAACGCCTCGATGCTACGCCTCGAGTTATTTTTATGAGGCTTGCGCTTCAACTTGGTTGATGCCCGCCCGCCTCACTGGCATGAGGCTTACGCCTCACGGTATATATATTAAAAGTTACATAAATCTTGAAGTAAATGCCCGACATTGGACTCTATATGAGAGGAGGAAGGGGAGAGAGCAGTTCATCATAATGATGATTCAAATAAAGAACCCCTTAGTGATGTCAGTGCTGATGACTTATGAGTTCTTATGTGATATGTCATTGCTTTTTTTTTTGGAAATTTGAATTATATGTTAATGAAAAGAATACTTGGATTTTGGAAAGATGGAATTTTGAGTTGAACTATATTTCATGTTGTCTTATCATTGGGATATTTTGATTTCATTTCATATCTTATGTTTTTTAATGTTTTATATTATTCACTTATTGGTATATAAAAAATTTATCATTTTATGTTTACGCAATCTTTTGATTTTGAGGCTTACGCCTCAAAACGCATTGAGGCTTACGCCTCGCCTCACGAATGAAAAACGCCTCAATACCCGAAGACGCCTCAATTTTAAACATTGATTTTATCCAAGAACTTGATTGCAATAACTCAATTTTGAAAAGATTAAAGCCAAAATTTATTCAAAATTTTATACCCATTTTTTGCACGCCTTAAAGATGATTAAATTATTTTTTTATAAAATCCTAAACTTTATAAGAATCATTTTACTCTATAAATGTATATCGTAAATATAAATATACTAAAATAAATCAGTTTCATAACTAAATTATTTTCAAAATATTTTAACAAGAGTATTCATTCCAAATATTGTACTATAGCTTTTAGTGGAACTTGCAGTTTTTCCGCTTAAATCCACATGCATTAGGTTTATTTGGAAACGTAGGGTATGATAAAGTAATAAAGGATATCATACAAGTCTTACATTGTAATATCTAATTTTTCTTAGATAAGGTGCAAAATTTTGTCAATTAAATGATACCCAAAATACTAACTTTCACAATCATCAAAAATCATGTTATTGTGTTCCGAGTCGACAAATGAATCAATTTCATATAAAGAACCATATGCTCATTTGCAAGGATATGAAAGTTATGAAATTAGTTTCAATTTGAATAAATTTTTCTACAATTTTTCTCTGCTATTCCTTTTTTAAAATTACCGTAGTGGGGTTAAAAATTTTGGAATTCCACTTAGGCGAGCATGCAGTGCCTTTGGGAAAGGGTAATTAAGGAAAAATATCATTAAGGAAGCTTTTTAATTCACTTTCTCTGTGTTGCCGATTCCTCAAGCGCTTCCCAATTTGGGGCGCAGTGCAGCCTGAAAGGCTAGATAAGGAAAGAAGAATAAGAAGAAAAGAGAGAACGAAGAAAGAGAAAAGAAGAAAAGAGAGAAGATACTGGTTATTATAAAATTTTTAGTGTAGAAATTATTTTGTTAAGTTCCTCGTCTAGTAATATCCAATTGTGATTTAGGATTTAAGTAGTGTATATGAGGAGAGTAAATTTTGAGGTAAAACAATATTTTGGAATAAATAGATTTATATTCATATTGTTAGGATAGAAACTGTTAGAATGGTAGGTATTGAGAACTTTGGGTTGTGTAGATGGTAAGGTTTAAAATTGCATGATTGGCCATTGAGGCATTTTTCGTTCGTAAGGTGAGGCATAAGCCTCAAGGCTTTTTGAGGTGCAAGCCTCAAAATCCAAAAATTGTGTAGACTAAAAAAACATATTAAATTTAATTTTTACATAATACCCTAATAATATGTTAAAAGATGACATATTAAATTTCTATTGACCTATGAAGCAACAAATTAGCATACATATGAAATAAAAAATTACACAAGTAAAGCGATAACTGATAAGTGATAAATTGAATAAAATAAAATTGATCGCTTGTCACTCTACACAAATATCTTGGGCATTGTTTGAGTTTCATATATATGGCAATTTTACACAGTTTATTACTTGTCATTTTATATCTTGTACATTGTTTATATTTCATAAATATGGCAATTTTACACAGTTTATTACTTATGTTCACCTTTAACATATTATTTGATTATTAAATAAAAAATACTCATTTTGAATTTACGTAATTTTCTAATTTTGAGGGTTATGCCTCAGAATGCCTTGAGGCTTACGCCTCGCCTCACAAACAAAAAAACAACTCAAAACATAATTGTGCAATTTTAAACATTGCCTACCCTGAAGGAGCTGGTGCTTGTTGGTTCTCCAGGTTCCCACCACCATCCTTCATTGCTGGAATTATGAGGAATACAAGTGCACACTACCGGCCTTCATTACTGGAATTCTAAGGAATATAGGTTCCCACCACCTGCCGTCATTGCCAAAATTCAGAGGAATACAGGTTTCCAACATCAGCCTTCATTGTTGCAATTTTGAGGAATACAGGTTCACACCACTAGTGTACACTGCAAGAATTCTGATAAATATCGGTCCTTCCATCGGCCTTCATTGTCGTAATTCTAAAAAATATTGGTACTTCTGCTTCCTTTGTGCGTCCGAGACCGAGGAGAGATCAAGAGGGAGGGCTCCTCTCGCATGCAACATCCAGAAGCGAGAGAAGTCGAGCGCAGAACCTCTTGTATATTGAAAGAGCTGAGAGTTCCCTCTCATGAGGGATTGGGACAAGAAAGAGTGCAAGACTTACACACCTTGTGAATAGACCAGAGAGATCAGAGGCCTTACATGTGCCTGTACGAGGTCGATCAAATAGAAGTGTTCAAGTGGAGTTGGACGATTGATTTGCATTGGGCTGAAGGTTGGCTCAATCTGAAGGGAAGATATTTGTGTGCCAAGTGCTAAGCCACTTGAGACGTGTTTTTCTACTATTGTCCTTGAAGCTTGCCGCAACCCTAAAAGTAGATTTTTTTTCTACTGTCGTGCATTTATTGTCAGCCTTCCCTTGTGGATGATATTCTAAAAAATGCATCATTCATTATTGTCTTGATTAATATAGCCTTCATTGCTACCCTTTGCCACCGCAATGTCTAAAGTTAATTTCTTCCAAAGTTTTGACCAAATGGAGGACTCTATGGTGCACCAATGGACTTGATAACACTAACTTTTCAGAACAAATTACCAAATAGGGAATGACAGATACGTATTCCCCAGCTTGAAGGGTATTAAAATCCCAACCATCCCTTTACCCTTGAACCCACGGCTAGCATGGGGGTCCGTGAGAGGCACAGCTAGATCATGCCATTAAATCTCAGCCGTCCCTTGGCCCTTGATCCCACGACTAGCATGGGGATCTGTGGGAGACTCACTTGGATCACACCAATCTCCTTCTATATTTAGGTGGGTGGTTTAGAAAGGATTATATTAAGGAAATTATGCACGATTCTGTAGTTATTTGTTTCTTTTTTAAGACAACTTATATAGATCTATAAATATTGATAGTTTTGTATAATAAAATGAAGATTTTCTCTCTCCGATTCTCTTAATTTAAAATTATATCTAACTAAGATGGTAAATTCACCTCTAGATTGTGAAAGAGCATTCATAAATGTTTCGGCACTAAATCACATTTTAGTACAATATTATATCCATAAATAAATAGCCAGCCAGAAAGGACTACAAGTGGTAGATCGTTGAGTGATCAAATTGTGGTGCAGGAGGTATTTCAGAAGTTCAGGAATTCTAGATCTTCAAAAGGCTTGGTTTCATTTAAAGTGGATTTGGAACAAGCCTATGACAGCATGAGTTGGAATACTCTGAAAAGTGTTTTAGATTACTTTGGATTTCCTGAAAAATTCTCTATGTGGATTATGGAATGTGTTGAGCATCCAAATTTTTCTTTGGTTATTAATGGTAAGATTTCAAGCTGGATTTATGCTGAGAGCAGGTTCCGACAAGGATGTCCTCTTTCACCTTTTTTGTTTATCTTATGTTCACAATTGCTTACCAATCATTTTAAGCAAAATGATGAAGTTGTGGGAATCAAAATTGGTTACAATTTGCCGAAGATTTCTCATCTTTTATATGCAGACGATATCATTATTTTCTTTCATGCTAAAGTCCAAGATGTGAAAGAAGTAAAAGGAGCGTTAACTGATTTCTGTAGTTGGACAGGTCAGAAGATTAATTTGGAAAAATCAGTTATGTTGTTTGGAAGGCAAGTCAAGAGAAGCAGAAGAAAAGCTATTGAAAGAATCATGGGGTTTAAGGTGGTCAAAGAATTTTTGTATCTTGGTGTTAAAATGGCTTTGAGAAGGCTAGTAGCTGCAGATTTCCACTTCATTATAGAGAAAGCTCTTAAACTCACAATTGTTTGGGGCAGTAAGCAACTATCTTTGGCAGAAAAGATGTTGTTGATTAAAAATGTGATGCTTTCTATTCCTAATTTTTATTGCACTTTCTCATTGGTTCCAAAAAGTATTCTTAAAGAGTTAGACAAGTTATGTCGGGAGTTCATTTGGAATAAACAAAATAGTAAAGTGGGTTTGCATTATGTTAGCTAGACTAATCTGTGTAAACTGGTGAGATTAGGAGGAAGAGGCATTCACTCATGTGTTGAGATTGTGGGTGCTTTGAGAGAAAAATTAGCTTGGAAGGTCATTCAAGAAAGGGACTCTTTGTTGTATCAGACTTTGAAACCGAAGTATGGATTGTTGCTGGATGAAACAGCTCATGGCAGCGGATCTTCTTCAACCTGTAAAATTTCATCAAGTGGTAAGAAAGCAATAAAATCTGTAATAAGATGGAGAGTTGTTAATGATTGTTCTATCAGTATCCTCGATGACATTTGGATAATGGATAAAAAATTAAACAGTTGGCCAACCTTTGTCTCAATCCAAATGCAGGGGAGGAATTGGTTGAGAGTTTGATTTTAAATGGAGAATGGAATGTTTTGAAGTTAAAACAGCTATTTGGAGAGGAACTTATTAAAATCATTCTATTGGTGGAGATTCATTCGGATCAAAATAGTGATTATTTGGAGCTCATTCATCAAAATTCGGGATATTCAATCTCTTCTATGGTTTACAATAATTCATTTATGCAGGAGCTAGAATGTGGTTACTGGCAATGTTTGAAGAAGATCAAGTTAAGATACCGAGTAGAAGTTTTCGGGTGGAGATTGTTTAATAATGCAATCCCAACCTTTAATTTTCTATATCAAAGAAAAATTCAAGAGGTTGCGGGTTATCTGAAGATTTTGATCATATCACGGCAACTTGTGAGAAGATGAAGGAAGTCATTAGTTGTTTGAACAAATGGGGATTTGGATTTCAGGTTTTTGATTCCTTTCAACATTGCTGGGAATGAATGGAAGAGTGCTATAAAGCTCAAGGTTTTATTATTAATATTTATTGTAATGCTTAATATTTATTGTAATGCAGTCTATCTTACATGGAAGTCTAGGAACAAATTTATTCATGGAGGTAAGGAGGATTGCTCTATGTTCATAGCTTCAAATACTATAAGTTTTCCTTCCATTTCTTATATGTTTAACGGGGAAATTGGGACACTGGGGTACGAATCAGTCTTCTAGACTGTCTGAACGTTGGTACCCTCCTCCTCCCAATTGGATAAAAATCAATGTTGATGCATCTTTGTTACAATCATACAAAGCTGGAATTGGTGGTGTGGTACGTGACAGTGAAGGAAGATTTTTTTTTGGCATATGGTCATTCATGATTTCATTGGGATATTGCAAATCTAGAGCTTTTTTCGATTCATTTTATAGGGCAAATTAAAAAAGATTGGATGCAAGACTTCCATAGGATAATCATAGAAGGCGACAACTATAATGTTATCAAGTTCTTGCAAAATTTGGGAGGCAAATGGAGAGATGATCTTTTATTTTTTACGAATCAAAAGTTTGTTTTCTTTAATTGGGTTAAGAGGAGATGTAATAAGCTAGCTAACCTTTGTGCTAGCTATGCTACTTGTAGTGATTTTTGTTGGGAAGATTTTTCTTGTAATAAGATTCCTCCTATGTTTTCCAAATTGTTAAAGGGGGAATCAAGTTATGGTAGTAGTTTGTAATTAGGTTGCTTTTATTAATAATATTCGTAGCCTTTGAGCTTTTTCAAAAAAAAAAAAAAAAGGACTACAAGTGTTAAAGGATCTACTCAGGCTATGTATTTTGCATTTTGAATATAGCTAAGGATCATATTTCATTGATAGAATTTACTTATAAAAATAACAATTAATCCAAAGGCACCTTACATGGCATAAAATGCAAAACTCCACTAAGTTGGGTTGAATTTGGAATGAGTCAATTGATAGATATGCAATTAGTTAATCAAGCTATTGAGGCTCACAAATATTTGAATTCTGTCTTAGAGTTGTTTATCTTTCTAAGCTTTTAGCTCGCCAGATATTACACCAAACCATGTTTTGGATAAAGTAAAATACAATGTGGAGCCCCAATGAGAATCAAGTTGATTGATTACTCTAGTTTTGGTGTACATTTTTAATGTAAGATGAAGTATAATAAGATATATATATATATATATATATATATAAATGGTAAAAGTTTTGATGTTATACAAATAGGCAATGATGTTAATAAGAAACTTGTTGTTAAATAAATGAATAAAATTTTAGAAATGTTACTTTGTTGTTAAACAAATGAATAAAATTTTAGAAATGTTATCTCTTAATTAATTTGTGTTAAGAATTAAACTCCTTTGAGTTAGCAATGATTGTATATAAGAATTGAGTCATATGTGTATTTGTTGTGCCTTATGTGCAACCATTAGGGGCCATCGTGGAGTGTAACAGTAATCTTCTGAGGTTCTCAATCATCATAATCATTAGAAATAGGTTTAAAATGGCACACACTATAAACCACCTACTCTTTCACAGTTGCAGTTCTCATGTTTCACAGAGCTTTCTTTAACCAATACTCATCACCAATAATGCACTCCTTCCACGTATGCATATTATACTAATTTTTTACCATCATATTGTCATTTCCTCAGTATTTGGATTAATAAAATTTCTATAACCATTAAATTTAATAGTCCAATAATAAGTTAAAAAGCATACCATTAGTGCATCAGATAGATCTTCCCTTTTGACTTCAAAATCATCTGCTATTTTCTGATAAGAGAGAAAAATGAAATCTAGTTGTAAGATGTGCTTTTGCCTATTGATTAAAATAAGCAAGCAGCAACAAATAAGTGAAAAAGGGGGAAAACAAACTTTGAGATAGAGGTGCTAAATCAATAAATAAAGGCTGATGCCACAAATGAAATCAATGCAAGCAGCTGAAAATTGAAGTGGATGAATTATTGCAGTAAAACATATATGAAAGTTGCATTACAATGTTTTTCATTATAACAAATGCCGAAGACCAGTTAGCAGTTGGTTCCATAAATGCAATTAAACAATCCTCTTAAATGATTTAACTTCCACGAACAATATACATAACAAAAGAACCTATGTTGCACCAATACGGATACGGGGACACGGATACGACACGATATGAATACGGGACACAGCAATTCTTAAAAATAAAGGATACGGATACGGCATTATAATATATAAATCATACTTAAAAAATAACAAATTAATCAAAGTATAATATTTGAAATGACAAAAAAAATTGAAAGCAACATCATTTGTAGCATTGTATCTTATAATATTAAAATAAAAGTAAGCATTGAATATTTAAATGTCTAGTACAACAACAAAAACATAAACATAAATTGTCCAGCATAAGAAGTTTCAACTATTCAATAGAATGAATGATAGGATTAGCTTCTTCAGTGGTTTTTCATTGAATTTCTATATCATCTTCAATGAATACATAGCTCCAATTCAGGCTCATCAAGTGAAAGATTAGCAATTTCAAATATTCCCATATCCTCAAGAGATTCAAATCCATCTCCAACAACATCTCACATCCTGTTGTCTCATTCCATATAATTTGAAGTTTTCCTTGAGAAAAGCTAAAGGTTCGTATGCACATAAATTAAATCTTTAGCCCGTTGTGGAGTATTTTTGTTTCTCTTCATTGATTGGATGAATGGGTATGTGCTCCAATTTCTTTCAAAACAAGATGAGGATGAAACTTGGCCAAGCAATTTTATGACGATTGTTTGAAGTAGAGGTGATGAAGCTCCATATATAATCCATCATATTTTTGGATCAATTCTCCACCTATCACGCAATGACTCTTGGTCACCAAACTCTTCTAAATAACCAAAAAAATTAGCATGATCAATATTGACACTTCTTCTCTCCTCCTCATTTGGAAAATGATGCTTCAAACATATTTTCCTCATATTTGAAATTTCTAAATCTTTCTGTGGAGAAACTCTTTGAGGATCCTCTTGAAGTCATTCTTTAGTTATATATCTTCAAAGAATAGTAAAAGCAAATAATAAAAAATGTTGAAATTACTAAACAATAAATTGTAAATTAATAATGAAAAAAATGTTGAAATTTACCTGAGATTTAGTGAGTGAGCCAAGCAATATAAATGTGTATTACTTTTGCTCCACTTATCTTCTAGAATAGCATAAATAACATCCCAAAAGCTTGAGTCTTCATGAAGTGTTTTCCTCTCATGTCTATAGATAATTTCTTTTACTTTGGCTAGTATTGAATCTCATATCTCATAAATGAGATGTAAACAAGACTTATCCTTATCCGCTACTCTCAACATCTCATAAATTGGATCTGTGAAGTTTAAAATGTATTCAATCTCATCCCACCATAAATCATCTAAAAACTTCTTCTTTACATATCTAGCATTTCCAACATCATCTTCCCTATAACAGGATCATTTGACACTTATCACCATAGCTTGAAGAGAATTTTTAATTTTTTTTTAATCTTCTCAACATCACTATAACTCAGGCAAACCGAGTTTCAGCAACTGCAAGCATCTTTAAATTAGAAAAATCATTGAACATAGAGAGTCTCATGGAGTGATTCATAATACAATTCCAAATTACAACTGCATCTCCAACAATCATTGTGATCCAATGACATTCATTGTAAGTGATTTCGTTTGCCTCGATATTCTTAGCTGCACAAATGTTCTTCAAGGCAAAATTAAGCGTATGCACAACACATGGTGTCCAGAAAATATGAGGATAGGCTTGCTCTATAAGTAGACATGCAGCTCTACAAACAGGTGCATTATCAGTAATGACCTGGATGATGTTTGAAGGCCCCACCATCATGATAACTTCTTTGATTAAATTAGAAATGAACTTATCCTTGTACTGTCCTTCATAGTTTACAGTTTTGATAAACATAGGATAGCTCTCTATTACAGCCATGAAGTTGATAAATTGTCTTCTTTGTGGATCTGTCCAACCATCACAAACCAAAATAACTCATTTTTTCTTCCAAACTCCTCTAATAGGCTTGAGCAACTTCTCAATATTATCCCTCTCTCTTTGCAACAACTTCGTTCTAATAACATTATATCCTAGTGGCACGTATCCTGCAAGATTATTATTGCATGCATAGGTAAAGGCATTCTTATAATGTGGATTCCTTGCTAGGTTAAAAGGAAGTCCAACTGAGTAAAACATTCTAGCTATTTTCCCATCTAGTTGTTCTCTCATTTGTAAATTAAATGCTTTCTCCAAAGCATTATCTACAACATTTTTTTTCTCTTTGGTTCAAATCCCTCCATCCGAAAAGGCCCTTTATTTACAATATTGTCATCACTTCTAATTGAAGAAGATGATGAAGGATATGAAGCAAGAGTGCTTGGAAGTGGAATGTATTTTGGAAGCTCTTTTTTAGTCCTTTGCTCAGCTTTACTGATTTTTCTTTGTAATTCAGCCATTTGTGATGAGCTTACATTCGGGCATACTTTAATTCCATGACCACTAATATTCAACAAATGAGCTTTAACTCTATAATATGATCCTTTGTATGTGGCATTACAAAAAAATTACATTTGAATGCAATATTGCCACCCCCTTCTGACGTTTTACCTATTTTTGTCACATAACCCCACAAAGGTTTGTTATCTTCAATATTGGTTTCTAATGGACCATCAGCAGACCCAATTCCTACACAACCAGAGCTCATTATCTTACGAAGGATCGACACAAATTAATCCACATGAATTTGAAACATGAAAATTTTTAATTAAAAATGTAGATATGTTGCGTCTATGCCGGGGGTCTAAGGGGGCGCTGCCCCCTAGCGGGGTTCGACCTGTGGTACCGAGGGAACAAATTTTTATTGTAAGAGTTGCTTTAAAGTTATCTCTATACCGAGCAGTACCGAGTAGTACCGAGCTCTGATACCGAGTGGTACTGAGTTCTAGTATCGCTCGATACCGAGCAGTACCGAGCGATACCGAGTATCGAGCGGTACCGAGTGATACCGAGCAGTACCGAGCGATACCGAGTACCAAACGGTACTGAGTTCTATTACCAAGCCTACAATTAAGAAAACGAAGAAAAACAAACCTTCAATGCTCACGTCGCCTTCACTGTTCGTTTCGTCGAGTCGCTCCGTCGACGAAGGATTTTATCGACTTTAATGCTCGCGTCGTCGAGTCTATTTGTAGACAAAGGATGATCGTGTCCGCTTCTATGCTCGCGTCGTCGAGCCTCTCCTTCGACTATAACGAATAAGATGAACACCTGTGCGGAAACGAAAAACCTAGCTCGCTGAAATGTTTAAGCCGCATAAATGTATAGGGATATCGAGCGGATAGCTGAAATGAATAGGGCAAATTACGGCTCTGTTTTTTTTTTTTAATAAGACACGTATCTGATATGCGTGTCCGATTAAATTTAAATAATATTTTAATTGGGCACGGCAAAGCTGTATCCGACATATATCAGTGCCGTATCGGAGGCGTATCTGTATCCGACACGTGTCCAATACAGAATACCTCATAAATAGGCATATCCGTGCAACATAGAAAAGAACTTGATATTTAAACTCTATATCTTCATTGCTTATTTTACTTATTTTGCAAACTTCTTCACATGTTAACTAGGTATAGTGTAAATGCATCAACTGCACATAGTTTTGAATTATCTAATATAAAATCACTCAGATAAATAAAAGAAAACAGTTGCCTTAAAGTTAGATAGTCTAATTTTTTGCATGTAAAGTTACATCAAATTTACTTCTTTCTCAACTATATAGTAAGTTCCAATTAATGAGTTTAATGGATTAGATTAAACATGAAAATTGGACTGCTAAGATCTTTTGAAGGAACTCCAAACAGCTTTTTAACTGTAGCATATATTATGTTAACATACGCCAAAACATTTATGCAACATGCAAGGTTTAAAATTGTACAATTGGGTATTGAGGCAGTATTGAGGCATTTTTGTTCGTTGGGTGAGGTGTAAGCCTCAAAATCCAAAAATTGTGTAAAGTGAAAGTAAAGGTTTAAAATGATTTTTTATATAATACCCAAATAATATGTTAAAAGATAACATATTAACTTTCTATTTACTATGAAGTAACAAATTGATATAAATATGAAGTAAAAAATAGCACAAGACGTAAAATGACAAGTACTAAATTATTAAAAATAGAATTGAAATATAAATATTACAAGAGCAATATAAGAGTTGCATAAAAGTGTCATATAACATCAAGTTCAACTCCAAATTTATTTTTTTCTCAATTCCCTACTCATGCACATTTAATTCCAAAAGAAAGCTGAAAAATTTCCAACAACTCAAAAATCATTTGCACTATCATCACAAAGGACGACTTTATTTGAGAAGTCATCATAACAAATTGTTCTCTCCCTTACCTAATCCTATGGAGTCCAATACCTCCAATTTGTTTATTCTTCATTTATGTAAAGTCATCTTTTTCCATATATATTTGTCATAAAAATAAAGATGAAATGAATACAACAAAATTTTTAAAGGAAGCGGTAGTGGTATGCGGCTTTCAAGTGATCCTTGGCAGCAGCTATGATGATGGTGGCTACGGCGAAGGCGACGTGCAATCGAGAGGAAGTTGTTGCGTCACAGGGGTGCATGAAGATGTGATTTATTTAGGGCATTAGTTTAGAATTTAAGTGTGTGTGTATATATATATATATATATATAGGCATATGCAACGAGGCAAGGTGCATCTCAAGGAATGCCTCGGCCAAGCTGAGGCACAAGCCTCATTAAAAAAGCTCGGGGTATAAGTCTCGATGCATTTTTCACTAGAATTGCGCTAAGGCGGGTATGCACATTAGATCCTCAGCATTCACCAACATTATCTTTAAATTCCTATTCTTCGAAAACATGTTGTTTGAAGACCATGAAATTGCACCAACTAATCCACGGCCTTTTTTTGTTGCTAGGACACATTCCAAAGATTATTGTTATACTTTTCCCAGAAAATCAGTGAAGCCGCATCACCACTTAAGAGGTGGACAAATCAATTTTGAAGATAGCGTAATACACTTTTAGGATATTAATTGGTCCATTACATAAGTGCTTAGGCAGATTTAATTTAAATTTGTGTATTTTTGGAAAGTATATCGTTTCTTTGTTCCAATAGGTTGGGATGTGCCAGTAGTTTCCAGACCAACGGTGGAAATCTAAAGACCTTTTGAAGCATCCAACATGTGTCAGCCCAATTTTTGAGGTGATATAAACTTGACACATGTCAAACACAAACATGACATCCCAAATGGATTATAAAAAAAAAAGTGATTTAAAACAAAAGTCAATAAATGAACTTAGAACAGACTTATCAAAGATGAACGCAAGAATGTAAGTGATATATTCTAAGTCCTTTAATCTTTCTAATGCGTGAATGGCAATAAGATGCACATTTTTTTCTTCAATTTTTTGAAATAGAAATTTCTTACACATTCAGCATAGGGGTGAGTGATCCTTCTTAAACTTACATGTGTGAAATATACGGGAAAATAGCAGCTTAAAACCTCAAAAAGATCCTGAGCAACATGTTCTGAACCCAGTTGTGACAGAAATAATTTGACAAGACTCTGGACTAGATGAAACGTAAGGACCAAGCACCGTGGATCCTTCTCTTGATCAACCGCTTGAATTAATCCATAAACAAAATCATCACCCTGCATAATTTCAGCTGTTTGATAAATGGGCAACATAATGAGAATATGTGACGTATCATAATCAAGCAGAGTATAAATTCAAATGGATCACTATAGTAATTTGATAAAAACATTCATATTACTTATTGAATATAAAGGAATCAGATTAAGAATCAAACTTATGTCCCGATTGAAGGGCATTAAGATATCCCCAATATGATAGAAATGGCAAAATAAACAGTGGATGGGTTACTGTAGCTGCTGAATGTAAATATTTAGGTCAAACCAAGCTAACCAACCCCTCCTTTCTTTATTTATTAGCTTTCGGGTATTGGGCAAAATGACCAAGTTGTGAACAGCTCTGGCAAGGAAAAATATGCATTATAGTAAAAGACCAAGACCCAGCAAGGCTCATTGAAGGAACATACTCTATAATGCTGCGAAGGACCTCTAGACTAACAATATTAATAAATGATAATTCAAATTTAACTTCTAACAACTTAACCTATTTGTAAAAATGATATGTTTAAATTCATCAAATCACTTCCATAGTAAAGGATGATCAATCAGCATAACAATGATTATTTTCAAGTAAAAAGGGAAACTGATACATGCAAATGGTATAGAATAGTCAGGCTGTAACAGATGAGCACTACCAGAGATGCTATCGAGTCGGAGTGGGCATCCAGCAAGCATTGAAAAACTTCAAAGCACAACTGCGGATTCAAAAATAAATGATAACATCAAACTAAGCACTAATATCATTAGAAGATCATTGTTTACACAAGTTCATGCATAGTATAAGACCTGAGAGATCTAACCTTACGATCATGCATTGCTAGCAACTGCACTTGTACATTATCCAACATTGATTGAGCTAGTGTCCTGGCATCATTATCAGCAAGCATGCCAACATTACTCTTCCTCTTTAGAAGTGCCAGGCAACCAATGAGTGCCCCACGCAAAGATCTCCAATCTGCCTAAAGTTACAGCAAATATTATATTACGTACAAACCAAGATATAGCACAAGTAAAAGCACTAAGTAGTCCCTTAATATGTAGGCTATGTATAAGTTGGATGAATCAATATTTCAAAAAGAAATGCATGAGAAAAAGAATGAAGAATAAAGCATTCAACTCACCAGCCTTGATGAGAAGAATCCAGCCAGACTACTTATTGTAAAACTGTCTAAGGCTTTGCTTAAAAGACAGATAAGAACTTCAGCAAGAAAAAGAATACCTGCGTACATAAGATAAGTGTAATACAACTTGGACAATGAATTTAAAAATATAAACAAAAAAAACAGGTATGAAGCATAGGTCCATATTGACCATTTTGCATAAATATTTGCATTTATTGTAAAGCTTTCTCTCGTGAGTTCAAAACCAATTTGATCCTCTACATCATACAACATTTCTTCTTCGAGAATTCCTACATTTGGTTCATCAATTAAGCTAACAAATTTAAACACGGTCATTACCCAATCCAATGAGATTGGAAATAATTTTCATCTATCGATTAAAATGAAGTGCATTGGCCAAATGATAACTCCTCTTTATCTTTCTCCAACTACGTTACTATATATATCCATTATAGTATACTACTTTAACTTGCATGAACTTCTTGAGAAAAAGCATAATAACTAATTCTCAAACATCATTCAATATTTTTAAAGCTCAGAAAAAGTATAACATAACATGAGGGATTCTGTAAATATTAATGATGCAATATCTAATCAATCTCAGTTACCAAATAAACAAAGATTTTATGGAATTCATGTGCTTAATAAATACATAAATAGACGTTCGTAATAAATAAAGAAATAGACTTTCTCAGATGGATAAAGAACTGTTAGAAAAGAGATAGAAAATAAAATTACAACGAAGCATCATTAATGGTTGATGTTTCCTATTTTTTGGTTACATCCATATGTAAGCATGTGGGGGCACAACGACAGGGTTCCTGTTAAGAGTTTGGCAGCGTAGAATACACGTACATTTAATCATAAAACAACAGAAAATGACATGGAAAACTCACAGATTTCAAGAAAGAATAGCATATATAATCCCCTTAGTTGTAAGCAAGATAGGGACCCCTTTTCTACCAAGATAGGAGAGTTAAATAGAAGTTAATGGTAAGACGAAAGGTTGTAATTTGAACATTTCTGTTATTTCCCGCATGGAGCCACAATACTCATTTAACCCTTGATCAAGGGAAAGTAGCACAATTTTGACCATGCACACTGGGCATTCCAAGTAGTCACATTAATCAGGCGGGCTCATTCAAGAGTGTCCACGTCTACTCCAAGTCATTGTTGTATGGTTATAAACATCAGTGTTGAAGAGATGGAAGTTCTTTAATAACTAGCCCGTCTTGAGCTGAACTATTCTTGGGACGATCTAGCTGAGTTATAGAGGCAGGTCAGCTCATCTTGTCATAGAGGGATCCAAGTTGTGATTTAGGTTTGATGCTTCGATATGGCTCTTCCGACAAATCCAAGCTAACTCAAGGCTTTTGTCATTTTTAATTCAAACAAGAATGGTTGATATATCAAGCTTAGATTGGAGGCTAGAGGCATAGTGATTGTGTGGGGGTGATGAGAACATCAGCAGAAGATTCAGGAACGTCTATCACCGGAAGCAGTGTAGATCGACGGCTACAATTAGGAGCCTTTGATTTGATATATTTCATCTATTAGTTTATTTTATTTCAAGTTTGACAATTGTACCCTTGCTTGTTTATTGTTTTGAGTTGTAGCACTGAGGGCATTTCAATCTTTTCTTTTCTTCTCTCTTTGAGGCCTATATAAGGCCCTTAGTCTTGTATTAGGGTTAATATGAAATATATTCCTGGTTTTCTTCTTGAGAGCTTGTGAGTTCTTGAGCGATGAAGTCCCAAGGTGGGGGCAAAAGAAATACCCACCAGTCGCCGGAAGTGTCCCAGGCTCGTGGTTCGACTCCATGCTTCCAACCGCCAGTCATCCCTTCCCCTCCTAGCCGTTGATCTCAGTCCCCACCTCCTCCACCTTAACATCGGCCCAAGCCCGGCCTACCATCCTATATGCCGGCCCCTAGCCCCTCTCCCGTCCATAACCGCCAAGCTAGCCCACAACCCCGGCCTCCTTCCCCTACCCCCTCTACTAGTTGCTGGCCACACCTCCATTTCCCTCTTGATAATGATTTCAATCATCATTAATACATATCTAGATTAACCTAAATAATTTGTGGAAAGAATTGAATTCAATTTGAATTTCAAATACTTTCCTAAATTAACTAAGCTAAATAAAGAAAGTTCCTAAATTTAAGTATAATTTAATTTTAAATTAGATTTGATTTAATTACCCTTTTCCTAAATTAGAATCATGATTAAGGAAGTTTTAAATTCTCTCTCAATTCCCCTCTCCCCCCATGCATGTCGACATCCCCTAGCCCTCTCTCTCCTCCCTCTCTCTCTCTACTTCCATTATCCCTAATTTGAATTTGAAACTCAAATTTTCAAAATTCAAACCCCTTTCCTATTTCAACTAAATCTAAAATTAATTTCAGATTTTATTTACCTTGCCATATTCCAAACCCTAACCCTAACTTTGCAAAACAAACCCCTCCCCTCCCTTGGTCGACCCTCTCTCCTTCTTCCTCCCTCTTGGACTTTCTTACTTCATGAGTTATATTCCAAGAGAAGAAGAAGATAATCATCCCTTCCCAACTTTCTTACTAGTGCATGGCCGATCCCGAGCGTGACCAAGGATTCGTCTACGACCCACAAGGTTTAGTGGATATTCTTCGGTCCCCTTTCTTCGACCTCAATTTGAAAGTTGACGACTCCGTTGAAGATTACGTCCATCGCATTCTATTCACCTTGGCACCATCTATCGAAGAGCATCTACCCTCCGAACATTGGCGAATCATCAGACATCCACCCACATCTCCCCCTCCGGCTAACTTTCTGTGGATCAAGACCCTAAGTGTCCTATCACTTATAGTGGCATCGTTAGGATTGCTGAGATTCTCCTTCTGCTAAGACCTTTCAAAGAGCTTGAGTGAGGGAAACTCAATGTGACTTTTCAAACTATTAAGTAGTGGATTTAAAGTTTACAACATTTAAGTTTATGCTTTATGATTGAAATTATTTTAAGTTCTTGTTATTCTACCATGTAACTGATTGCCATAACAATATTAATATTCTTAAATTCCTAAAATTCCCTCTGGTGAACATTAGTTTATTGTTACTGCGCTTAAATCAAGTTTTATAAAGTTCTAAAGCAATTCATATTTTGTTTTACATCAACTGTACTTCAGAACATAATTCTAGAGTCCAAAAACACAGAATAAAAGGTACATCAAAAATATATTTTTTATCAAAAGTAAAATAATATATTTATTTTTAATAAATTAAAGCAATATCTTTATTAGAGGAAATTCTACTTTTTCTTTTAAAAAGAAGATTATTCATCATTATTCTTCTCATCTAATTTCTTGTTGATCAAATTTTCCTACTGATGGGCATCTCTTCACTTTCTTCAAAAATTCATGTCAAAGGCTTGCAACATTCTATCTTATTCTCAAAATAAATTAGCCAACTATTGCTCGTAGGCCTGCTTGATTATGCTTTTATCAATTCTGGAGTCTCCATAGAAATTTTCCTCAATGCATCATGGAGGAATTTCAAGGAAAATTTTCACCTTACCCCACGTGGTGGGATAAAAGCTTGTTGTTGTTGTTGTTGTAATGCATCATGGACTAATTTTAAGGAAAAATCTTCCTTCTTAAGGGCAGATTGGCCATGATTTTTCTTGTTATTAATAACCCTTTTAATATAATTTAATTTGTCTTTGACCATTACTACTACGACACTCCATAAAATTTAAAAAGTTATATATTAGCATCATATAAGCGATTTAGTAAATCCCTTTTATTCAGGATCTATTATCGAATCCATTTCAAAACTTTATTTAACAAATTATAATTAATAAATAAGCGAGATTTTCCTCACTTTTCCTACAGCATTCATGATATAAATTGCAAAACAACTCTAGAGACAGCTTGATTTTCTAATAGTTGTCTTTCAAAGAAGAACATGAATTTCATTTTTACAAAAATCAAAGTACTATTTTGTTTATTTGAGAAGATCTAACCTTTGTAAGAATATTCTTTTCATAAAATCCATCAATATATGGTAAGGCAACACCACTAACAAAGGGATAGGAATACAATATTCCTCAATGCAGATTGCAGTAGAAGTTAAATTGTACTTTGTTCACATTTTATCTCCACCAATCGATGTAAAATTCTAAGTAATTTTTTTAAATATTCAGAAGGAATTATTCCTTCTTGTGTGCAATTTGATAGGAAATACTTGAGTTCGCAAGTAACCCTAAGGTAATACATCAGTTCGCAAGCAATCCTAACCCAAATCGATAATCAAACAGCAAAATTAATGACGTCCACAGCAGGAAAAACAGCAAAACTAAGAGAAAACTGAGAGAAAACTCAACAATGGACTTGTATTCCACTAGAAGATGAAATAAAATAGCAACGATGCAATTGTTCTTCAATTCGAGAGGAAGAACTCTCCAAATCTCTAGCCGTAGCCTAGAGCCCAAGCACAAACCCTAGATCTCAAAATTACAATTCAAACTCAAGATCCCCCCAATTACCTCCTAAGCTCTTAATTAACATCAAAGGACAATTACAAACTTCCTAAACAACCCCTTCATTCAAATTTTCCCTCCTAAGTTTGAATTAATCCAAGAATGGCCCACTTAGAGCTTCCCCCCCCCCTCCTTTCTCTCTCTGTTTTCAGCCCCTTGTGGGGCCTGCCGGGTGTAGACAAGGACCGGTCCAGCCGGCCCCTCCTGGGCCAGCGGCATATCATTACCCCCCTCCCAAAGACTCACTGTGTCCTCAAGGTGGAAAGAAGGGAATTGATCCTTTATTCTATCAAATGGTTCCCACGCAGCATCGAAATGAGGGAGGTTTCTCCATTTAATCAGCACTTCTTTATTGCTCTTTTTCTCTGATCGGACTCCTGCCAGCTCTAGTGGTTCGAAAACCACTTCTAAATCCTCCATCATAATATCTGGTAGTTATTCACTCGTTGCATGCTCCCCTATGACCCTCCTTAGTTGAGACACATGGAACACTGGATGTATAATGGCTGATGGGGGTAACTTCAATCGGTATGCCTCCGCTCCAATCCTGTCCAACACTTCATAGGGGCCAAAGTACCTTGGTGCCAAA